CAGCAATCCTTTATTTTGAATTATGGCAATAGTATATATTTCCAAGAACATAGAAAAATATAGGTGTAACATAGGAATTTAAATTTAATATCAATACATTAATAGAATTTTAGATCTGGAAGGCTGGAATATTATATTTTACTTTTAGGTTTAAGAAATCTTAGAAGGTGCCTAACGGATGTTAGGAGGACCTGTGTCATTCTTACTGGTATAGTCATTACATAGTTATTGGGTAAAATTGAATTACTGACCACTTAGATGGTTTTCTAAAATTAGGAAAGTTGCTTTTCAGAACACCTTTCTGTGTGGTGTCTCATGCTGATGAGAGCCAAGGCTGAGGTGTCTTCATTCCTATAAATCAGTTATATTGGCTGTGTTTATAGTTGCCAACCATTGCTCTTCTTTGGCCAATTGTCTTGCAGGTATATTTCTAGCTCCCAGAGGGATGAGCTTCCCTTTTTCCCCTTGTGGCTCTGGAAAAGCCATTCAAGAACTTTTCTCTGAGTGCTTGGCTCAATGGCATTGTTTATATATTGGAAGAAAATCTAGATGATCTGGGTTTTGGATTTGTAATAAAAATGCCAAGTCATTCATTCAGCAGCAAGTGCCTGTATTGGGCCAGGTACTCTATTATATGCTTGAGTTATGGCAGAGAACCAGTCAGGCAAGGTTGTGACATTTAAGCTGAGATCTAAAAGATGAGTTAGCCTGCTGAAGAGTAGAAGTAGCAGGCACAGCCTGTGCAGAGGTCCTGGGATGAGTAGGAGCTTGGTGCCTATGGGGCAGGAAGGGAGAGGGATGGTAAGGCTGGACAGTGGCAAGAGAGAGAGACAAAGGCTTGAGATAAGTCTGGATTAATAGAAGGAAAATCTGACCACACAGGTCTCGGGGACATGTTAAAGATTTTGAAATGATCACAAGAAATTTGGAAGACATCGTAGGATTTTTGACAAGGGAGAAGTCACTTTGATATGGAGAGAATAAATTGGAGGGGATCAAGAGAGGCTTTTGACGGATGTAAGGCTTTTGTTAATATTGTCATCATCATTAATAACAGCTAATATTTATTATTTGCTTGCTATGAGCTGAGCACTCACCTAAACCCTTATCATCTCAAGTAAACTTCACAACATCCCATGAAGTGGTGGTGTTATTTCTGTTTTCCAGGTGAGGGAACCAAGACACAGTGAGGGTAAGCAACTTGTCCAGGGTCATATGGCTAGTAAGTGGCAGTGCTGGATTTGAACTCAGCACATGATTCTAAACCCTGAGCTGTTAGCCACTGGGCCTGTGCTTTTCAGTATGTAAGGAGATAGTCTGTTAGTGGGTCTTGAAATTGAGTGATCACAACTAGGATTTAAAAAAAATAGGATACGGTAGAAAATATGAGAGTATTTTGCAGGTAGTAAGGATAAAATATTGATATGTGAAACTTCGTTTCACTTTTTTTTCCTTTTTTTTTTTTGTCTTTTTTCGTGACCGGCAACGGATCGCAACCCACAGTGTCGCGCCCGTACCGGACCGGGACCGGCCACGGGATCGCAACCCTCGGTGTTGCTCCCGCCCCTCGCTCAGCCAGTGAGCGGCCGGTCTGCATGTGGGATCCAAACCCTCCGCGGAAGCGCCACCGCGCTTCCCAAGCGGCGCACTATAGCAGTGCGCCACCGGGCCGGACCCTCACTTTTTATTTTCTATGACTATATTTGTACGTGTGTGAGCTTGTGAACTATTGAGAGGCAGAGCAGTGTTTGTCCAGGCATGAGCCGATGACAGCTTGGATTGGAATTGTGGCAGTGCAGATGAAGAGTGGTCCTCAGTGTTAATAGGCAGAGGCAGGAGGACTTGGTGAGAGATTGGATACAGGGGCCCAGCTAAGGGAGGTGTCAGAAATGAGTCCCAAATTTCTGGTGTGGGCCACATGAGTCATGGTCCATGCTGCACTCAGTCCACTTCTTCAGGGGGTCCTCCTGGGTCAGTATTTGTCTCACCACATCTTTCTCTAGTTTCTCTCAGCTGCAGCTGATAGGACTTAGGGTTGGCATCTCACCCAAGGGCAGCAAATCTATAAGCTTGCCGTGGACCCGTGAGGTGATCTGTTACCAAATACTGCCTGAAAGGGGTGTTGAGCCAAGAGTAATCTGTCTGGAATTTGAGGTGAGCAGTGAGCCAGCTGGTGGCGGGAGGAGAAGCAGCGGGCTACAGATGTGTAGAGGTGGGCTAGCAGCAGCTCTGGACCGAAAGTGTGGGCACTGTTTTTGTGGGAGACACCTTGGGATCCAAAGAACCCTTAGGTTCTAGTGTTCAAGGTCCAGAGTCCTTCTGATGCTGAAGCCCAGGTCTAATTCGTTTGTTTCTGGCTTTGTGTCAGGCCAATTTCCTTCTTCTCAAGCATAACTTTTAGTAATATGTGACTCCCCACATTGCTTCAGTGAGTCTCTGCTGTGCATTCAGGAAATACTAACTGGAGACACAGTAATGGAGTAGTAAAAATCCTTGGTGTGAATTCCCCCTCTCTGTTTTATTGGACTTTTCATGTTGACCAAGATATACCTCACCAAGCCTCGGTTTCCTCATCTGTCAAGTTCGGATGTTAGAAGAGCATCTCTGTCATATGGTTGCTGTGAGGAGTGAGTTAAGTAAACCGTATCTAGCTCTTAGCTAAGTGCTTGGTGCAGAATTAGAGCTTAATACGTATTTACCATTCATAGTTGGTATTTTGGGGACAGTCTCTGGAGATACTTATACATGTTTATGAACAAAAACTATGGGAAGGTGCCAGCATAGAGAGAGAGGTTGGATATATGTGAGAGAGGGTATTAAGAGAAGGAGCAAGATGCCAGAGAAGCGCAGAGGGTATAGGATCAAGGTAAGACATTAATGATTGTTTTCAACAGAAGAGGGAACCTGGTGGAGCTGGTGGTAGTGAGGTATTTTTTTCTGAGATTGGATCACAGCTACAGTGGTCTATTGGGAGAGCTGCTGATTGAGGAGAAAGGTGGCAAATTGGAAAGCTATTATGGAGAACAGGAGACAGGGACATACAAAAGAATTGATAAACAGTACTGAGATCCTGAGATTGCATATGGTAAATTTATAGTAACACCAGTCTGCATGTTTTTACATTTTTTTTTTTTTTTCTGGCTGTGCTGTGTTCAGCAGAATGACAAGCTATAAAAGTCAGATCAGTATCGTTTTAAGGCTTTGTAAGCCGGATGCCAGCAAAGAATAGGGAGGCTGAGCACTTGAGTGTAGGGACATAGCAGGGCTTATGGAGTTGGCTTGTCCGGGGAGGCCAGTGTGTTCTGGGCAGTGTGTACGGTCTTGGAGAGAGAGGAGACAGTGGCCTGTGTGGTACCACTCACAAAAGACTCCAATTTCTTTGAATGATTTTTTCTCCCTACTATTCCTAACACTAATTCCTTGTGGTACTAACTGACAGATTAAGATCGATTGCTAAAAGGAATTCACTACTCTTTTGTGTGGGCACAACCCAAAAGTTAGTTCTTGTATTTAATTTCAAAGTTACCAATGATTTCACATGTATGCTGAATCAGTAAATGATAGGTTATCATTCTTAATCTTATGTGAAGTTTAACCACATAATGAGAGACTTTATTTTCAATGATTTCTTCCGAAGAGCTTAACATTTTAGTTATATTGAGGACTTTAAAGATAAATATTAAGTAGAGAGAATTTATAGATGCATTTCATATGTTTGCAACAGCCTGTCTTTGAGGCGGGATTCACCTGGGATCTCGGCCTGGTCTGTCTGAACTTTAGTAGTCCTTATTTCTCCTTTCATTTTTGTATGGAGTCTAGTGAATCTGGAAACAGTAACATACTCATTTGCTGGCCATTAGAGGGCCTCCTGTGCTTCAGGCAGTGAGTAACAGTGAGTAAGGTGTCAGAAGGGAAGTGAATGATGCAAGAATGATACTGTGAAGAGCTTTCACAGAGCTTATCAGCCTCTATCTGTGTGATAGCTGCAGGGGGTATGCACACCTGGAGTGCTTCCCACGGGTGGTGGGGGTGGGGGGAGAAAAGAACTTCTCTTAACCTCTCACTTTCAACTTCTGTGTGTTTTAGAACATATATGTCAGAATAGTAGTACATGTCTGTAAAACATATGTGTATTGGGGATACCTTATTTATTTATTTATTTGCCAATAGTATGTCTGTGATCCAAAAATGATTAGAGGCTACTACATGTTAATACGTATTTTAAAAAATACACATTTTTGATAACTTTCTCTTATGTTTTAACATTTGGAGAAAACCAGGAGTTTCTATGTGAGATAAACAATGTTCTTAATAATGACTTAGTTTTACTGGTTGCCTGCCTTTTGTAGTGTAGAGTAAGACTTGCTATATAAAAAGATCTGGCCTAACAAACTTGAGTCATTTCCTTCTTTCTGTTGGAAGAACTTTACCTCTTGTCAAATGGTGTCCTTTGTTACAAAGTACTGAACTCTCCTACCATCTGTCAGATGTTGGGGGATGGGGCATGGAGAATGGTGGAATGCCATGTGCCTGTTCCAATGTTCAGTTTCATCCCAAAGTGTGACCTCTGGGATCTCCCCTGCCACCACACACTCTCACACACACATGCCCACCCATTAACTATCCTTACAACAGAGTTGGGATGCCACCCAGAAATCTTCTGGCCCCCTCTATATGTCCGTAATAGGTGTTTCTCAGTGTGAAATGTCTCACTCTCAAAGGGCCATGAAATTCTTGGTTCAAAACCTTCCTCCTTCCCTCACCCCAAGAACCTTTTCCCTTAAATTATACTAGTTAGAAAAACCGTTATCAAGAACTTATTTTAAATGAAGTTTGCTGAATAATGCTTCTAGGTTGTTCCTCTGAAAGCTTCTATTTTCATGTTTATTTCAGTGATAAGCATGTATCTTAATTTATATTTGACACTTTGTCATTTTTAAAAAGATTTTTAAACAAGATTTTAAGTGAAATCTTGTGTGTGTCTTTGCAGGTTGGTGACAATTAGAAGCATGCTTTCCGCTGAACTTCCTGACACCATTTGTTATGCAGAATGAGTGAGAACGCAGTTTTTGCCTATGAGTCTTCAGTGCACAGCACCAATGTCTTGCTCAGCCTCAATGACCAACGGAAGAAAGACGTGCTGTGTGACGTTACTGTCTTCGTGGAGGGTCAGCGATTCCGAGCACACCGGTCGGTGCTGGCGGCATGCAGCAGTTACTTCCACTCGAGGATTGTAGGGCAGGCCAATGCAGAGCTTAATATTACTCTACCAGAAGAGGTGAGAGGTCCATGCTTCTGGTGATCTTAATGTAATTTTATTTAGTTAAGTTTCTTATGGTTTATAAAGTTAAAAATAAAGCACAGTCTCTTTGTGAGGTGGCTGAGGAGCATTTCTTAGGTTTTGCAGCAACCACTTCTTTAGCTTTTTTCATAGAAATTGTGACATTTACAAGAAAAATCATTAATTTTGTATGTTAGTTAAAAATATTTATTGAGGGCCGAGCCCGTGGCGCACTCGGGAGAGTGCGGCGCTGGGAACACAGCAGCGCTCCCGCTGCGGGTTCGGATCCTATATAGGGATAAGCGGTGTGCTCACAGCACTCACTGGGTGAGCGCAGTGTGGCCGGTCTCAAAAAAAGGACAAAAAAAAAAAAAAAAAAATTTATTGAGCAGTCAAATAACTTGACCCACTGTTATGCTGTTTTTGACAAAATAACCAAATCAGGGCACGCTCCGTGGGTTGTAGACAGTTGGAATTGGAAACAGGTTATATCTATCAGTTCTGCAGCAGAAGTCAAAGTGAATGGTACAGTGCCAAGAAAAAGACCAGTTATAGACTAACCATTGTTTTTGAAAAGGAACAACACATATAATGGAGATATGTTTATTATGGTTCATAAAGTCATCCCTTGGTATCATCGGGGGACTTGTCTCAGGACCGCCTGTGGATACCAAAACCTGCAGATGCCCAAGTCCCTGATATAAAATGGTGTATTTGTATGTAGCCTATATACATTTTCTTATATACTTTCAATCATTTCTAGATTACTTATAATACCCAATACAATGCAAATGGTATGTGAATATTTGTTATACTGCAATATTTTATTTGTATAATTTTTATTGTATTGTTTTTATTTTTATTTTTTATTGAATATTTTTGATCTGTGGTTGGTTGAATCCATGGATGTGGAACCCACAGATATGAATGGTCAACTGTATTTTCAAATTACTTAGTGGGACTTTCCAAGTAGAGCAAAGTTTGATTTATGGGTTTGGGAGGAAAGGTGTATGCATGTATGCATGTATTTATTTCATTCTAATTTGAAGTATAAATCATAAATTTTCACATATTACAAGTGTTTCATCATACCGACAGATTGAAAACATTGTATGGTTTACAGTCTTAAAAGGTACCTTATTTTAAAAAATTTTAATTGAGATAATTATAAATTCATGTATAGCTTTAAGAAATAATACAGAAAGTTCCTTTTTACACTTTGCCCGGTATCCCCCGTTTTGCAAAGTTATAGTATAATACTACAACCAGGATATTGACGGTGATAGAGTCCACCCATTGTACTCAGATTGCTCCAGTTTTACATGTACTAATTTAAGTGTTTGTGTATTAAATTCTCTTATCCCCTGTAACGGTTCACGTTTCCACCACCACAGTTAAGAAACTGAACAGCTCCAACACCCAAGGGTTCTTGGGTTGCCCTTTTATAATCACGCCCACCTCCTTCCCATCCTCCATCCCCTCATTCCCTTACCCCCTTCTTCCAACTCTAAGCCCTGGTAGCCGTGAATCTCGCCTCCTTTTCTAAAGTTTTGTCATTTCAAAAATGATGAATAAATGGAATCATACAATATGTGACCCTTTGGGATTGACTTTTTTCAACTTAACATAATTCCCTTGAGATTACCCAAGTTGTTTGTATTAATAGTTTGTTTCTTTTAATTGCTGAGTAGTACTCCATAGTATGGATGTACTAGCTTTCTTTCTTTTTTTTTTAAACTTTTTCACCTATTGAAGAAAATCAGGCTAATTCCAGTTTTTGCCTATTACTAATAAAGTTGCTGTCAACATTAATGTATTTGTGTATAGGTTTTTACAAGAACATAAGTTCTCATTTTTCTGCAATAAATGACCAGGAGTGCAATTGCTGGGTCATGTGGTAATTGCATGTTTAGTTTTGTAAGAAGCTACCAAACTGTTTTTCAAAGTGGCCTTACCATTTTACATCCCACCAGCAATGTGTGAGTGATCCAGTTTCTCTGCGTCCCTGGCAGCATTTGGTGGTGTCACTTTTTTATTTTAACCATTTAAAAGTTAAATACTCGTAGCTTAGCATGTTTTTTAGAAAATCACAAGTAATAATATCTTGATCACTCTTGTAGGAACTCATTGTTTTAAAATTAATCTTGTATTTTTAACCCAGCATGAGTCTTTCTCTGCACTTCAGCAGGTTCCATTTGTCCTTCACTTGCAGAGGCAGGTTCAATGTAAATGTGCAAGTTTTGTTACCTAGAGCTTATGAATCTTTGCTGAAACAGTACTGAGGCATGATTTTTAGAAATTCCCTTAAATTACTTCTTTAGTTTTAATCTTTTAAAATTTTATTATTACAAATTTTTGGCATGAGATAAAGATGATAGTTACCATTTATCGTGCATTTGTTATGGGTCAGGTCTTCTTTGTAAGTGCCTCATGCATAATTTTTTTACCCTTAAAAATTCCACTTTTGTAGTTTATAGTGGTTGGAGTTATTTGGAATATAGTGTCTGTGTGGACCTGGGCTAACAACAGACACCTAGTACTTCACTGTGTGTGTTGCAAGTGGTGTCCCTCCTGCTTTATTTCACAGATGATTTATTTTCACTAACTTGGGAAAACTGTGGTAATGTCTTATGTTTACTTCATGTGAGTAAACCATAGTTTATGTGCAATTAAGAGTGGAATCTGTAAAGTGGAGGGTGTGGTCCCAATGACTAGGGTGTGATAAGCATGATTTTTCAGGTTCCCTTGTTTTACATTTTCTAGAAGAATATTTTTCTTATCAAATTAAAATACCTGTTTATAATTATTACAAATAAGTTATACGTCTCTCTATTCCCCTCTGTTTCCCTTGTTTTTATCTACTGGCCAGCTTTCAAGTGATGTGTTTGTTTTTATTTTGTATATTAACAGGTGACAGTTAAAGGATTTGAACCTCTAATTCAGTTTGCCTACACTGCTAAACTGATTTTAAATAAAGACAATGTGGATGAAGTGTGCAAGTGTGTGGAATTTTTAAGTGTACATAATATTGAGGAATCTTGCTTTCAGTTTCTCAAATTTAAGTTTTTGGACTCCACTGCAGACCAGCAGGAATGCCCAAGAAAAAAATGCTTCTCCTCACACTGTCAGAAAACAGACCTTAAGTTTTCACTTTTGGACCAGAGGGATCTAGAAATTGATGAAGTGGAGGAGTTTCTGGAAAATAAAAATGTTCAGACTCCTCAATGTAAACTCCGTAGGTATCAAGGAAATGCAAAAGAATCGCCTCCTCTACAAGACAGTGCCAGTCAAACGTATGAATCCATGTACTTAGAAAAGGATGCTGCCCTGGCTTTGCCATCTTTATGCCCCAAATACAGAAAATTCCAAAAAGCATTTGGAACTGACAGAGGTCGCACTGTAGACTCCAGTGTCAAAGACGTTCATGTTGCTTCTGTTCAGTCAAATGAGACATCTGAAAATGAAAGTTTAGGAGGAGTCCAGGACTGTGCAGATTTGCAGGTGATTTTAAAATGTGAACAAAGTAAATTAGCAATGGAACATGAAGAAACAAAGAAGAAAGAGCCTGCTTCTTTGTGCCCAGCTGAAAAAACAGAAGTGACTCCTTTCCCCCACAGTTCTTCTACAGACGCTCATGGACTTTATTCTCTGTCTCTTTTACACACATATGACCAATATGGTGACTTGACTTTTTCTAGTATGCAAAACACAACAGTGTTAGCAGAAAAGCCTTTGTCAGGTCCAGATGTTGCAGAAGAGAAAACGTTTGGTGAAAGTCAAGATTTACATTTGAAATCTGACTCGGGCCCCAGAGAAGATAGTAGCCTTGCATCTAGCGATCGGAGTAGTGTGGAACGAGAAGTGGCAGAACACCTAGCAAAAGGCTTCTGGAGTGACATTTGCAGCACAGACTCTCCTTGCCAAATGCAGCTGTCACCTGCTGTGGCCAAAGATGGCTCTGAACAGATCTACTCACAGAAGCGGTCTGAGTGTCCCTGGTTAGGTATCAGGATCAGCGAGAGCCCAGAACCAGGTCAGAGGACTTTTACGACATTAAGTTCTGTCAACTGCCCTTTCATAAGTACTCTGAGTACTGAAGGCTGTTCAAGCAATTTGGAAATTGGAAACGATGATTATGTTTCAGAACCCCAGCAAGAACCTTGTCCATATGCTTGTGTGATTAGCTTGGGAGATGACTCTGAGACAGACACAGAAGGAGACAGTGAATCATGTTCAGCCAGAGAACAAGAATGTGAGGTGAGCAGGAGTATGTTCTTAATTCATTATTTTAACACCGATTAACTGCGATTTACTCTGGGTCAGCTCCTGTTGCACCAGTAGGGATATGAGCAGGCTCTGGGAGGGAGGAAGAAACTCATACACAGGTAATTGTAGGATCATGTGGTAAATACCAAAAGAATGAGATGAAGTTTGAAGGACTTCTGCGTTTGTGTGTTTCAAGTAGGTGTATTTGTATTAACCATGGAGTAGATTCACACATTGGCTGTTTAACTGTTATATCAAATGCCAGGTTCCAAGAGGAGAAAGAATGATGATTCTATGATCATTACATGATAGCTCCTAGAAAAATGCAGCATATACTCAGTCTTGTTCATTGTCACGTGGATCTCTAGACCTGGGACTAGTCACTGAGCATAGATTTGACAGTAACTAGTTGTAGTAATGTGGCTTCTACTTGTCTTGGACGTAGTTTTTCATGGCCATTGATTTTTGTTTTGTTTTCCCTTCGCCACTTTAGCTATTAGTTTAATGAATGCTTTAATAATTTAGCATGAATTATATGTAGCTGATGTGGTATTAACCATACCAAGCTTGGTCTGTGTACAAAAGTTTGTACTTGCTAACTGCTTTCTGTAAAATATTACTAAAATTTTAGTAATAGTAAGGGCCTGTTCTTTTTTCGAAAATTTTTATCTTTTTAATATGATTTTGTTTAGTTCTCAAATGTTGTTTTCTTTTTTTTAGTTGCAATTTGCACTTTTTTAAAATACAAATTATTTTTCTATTTTACCCATTGCATTTTACTCCTTTCTTATGTTTTATTTTATTTATTTTTATTGTAGTAAGAACACTAAACATGAGATCTACCCTTGTAACAAATTTCTAAGTGCACGATATGGTGGTGTTAACTACAGATACAGTCTTGTCCAGCAGATCTCTAGAACTTACTCATCTTGTGTAACTGAAACTTTACCCATTGAACAGCAATTCCCCCTTTTCCCCTGTCCCACTTCTCTGCCTCTGGCAGCCCCTATTCTAGTCTATGTTTCTGTGAATTTGACTATTTAAGATACCTTATATAAGTGGGATCTTGTAGGATTTGCTCTTCTGTCTGGCTTATTTTACTTAGCGTAAGGACCTCCAAATCTATCCATATTGTAGCAAATGACAGGATTTCCTTCATTTATGGTTGACTAGGATTTTATCATATACACACACCACCTTTATCCACTCATTTGTCCATGGACATTTAGTTTGTTTCCATATCTTGGCTATTGTGAAAAATGCTGCAATGAACATAGGAGTTTAGATATCTCTTAAGATCCTGATTTCAGTTCTCTTAGATAAATGCCTAGGAGTGAGATTCCTGGATCCTATGTTAGTTACATTTTTAATTTTCTGAGGACTCTCTGTACTGTCTTCTATAGCACCTGCACCGTTTTCCCACCAACAGTGTACAAAGGTTCCAATTTTTCTACATTCCATTCTTTAGCATTTTCTTTGGTTTTGTAGCTGTTAGACAAAATGCTTGAAAGAAGCTTTTCTTCCCTCCCCTGGGGCTTTTGAAGGAGGTGGATTGATGATTTAATTTAACAATTAATATGTATGCATGGGTTATATCTATAGATTTTTGTTACATTTATAAACACAGAATTTAGAATTACTATGAAAAGAATGTTAAAAATAAAACATTTAAAAAAATTTAGAACATATTTTATAATTAATTTCTGTAAGCTTGAAAGGCAAGCTAAATAGGTTGCCGGACTGACCAGTGTTCCATTTGTGTTTTTAAAAAAATTTTGTCCTTTCTCTAAACTTAAGTATGTTGGAAATGACTTTAAAATATTCATAAGGTTTTTCTAACCTTTTCTATATCGGCAAGTGAAATGTGTAGCTTTTAAAATAAGTTATGTGAAGCTACCGTTTTCTTGACAGAAAAATAGGTTTTCTGAAATGCTTTATAAATTACTAGCATAATCATACCAATATTAAGTCAGTGCTACATAGACATTTTCAAAGAATAAAATTTTATTGTGGGGTTGAGCAAAAACATATTAAAAACACTTTAGAAAGAGGCTTACAGGTACTAGTGGAGTATTAACTTGCAATAGTAAAATAAATTTTATCTTTCCATTTTAAGTATGTTAGTATTTATGTTAATATTTTTGATTTGCTGAAAGTATCTGCTTCTTGATTTATTTGTCTTCTGCACTCCAGAATAGATTAGAAATATCAATTAAATGATCAGTTTTGGTTATAATAGATTATATAGAAGTTGTGAGTCAAGGCCTATTTTTTGAACATCTAAATGAAGTTCTTTGAAAGACCTAGATGTATATCTTTGTCCTCCTAGATTTAATTGTAACTATAAAATACAATAGAAGCTACTAATGTTTATTTCACATTCCAGGTAAAACTGCCATTTAATGCCCAACGAATAATTTCACTTTCTCGAAATGATTTTCAATCTTTGTTGAAAATGCATAAGCTGACTCCAGAACAACTGGATTGTATCCATGATATTCGAAGAAGAAGTAAAAACAGAATTGCTGCGCAGCGCTGTCGCAAGAGAAAACTTGATTGTATCCAGAATCTTGAATCAGAAATTGAGAAACTGGTAAGTGGACAAGCTGCTTCTTGTTACGATTTTAATTCCACCACTTTCTTCTTTGTAGAGGACATAGCTATTTGAATTCCTAGACCAGATATAATGCTCAATTATGTATTAATTTTTAAATACATCAATTATGAAAAATTATGTGGCATTTTCAGAAAGATAAGGAAATAAAAAATAGGGTTTTCATAGACTATTTTACTTATGTAAATATTCTATATTTTTAGCATGATATACTATGATATGTAACTTGAGAATTATTTCTGGGTGCTTTTTTAAAAAAATAAATCATTTACAAATTAACGATGATTTTACTATCTAATTCTTCGTGGTTGAATAAAGATAAAAGAAATTATAAATCACTTAAATTTCTTCATGACATGTTTGGTGTCTGTAAAAGCTAATGTTCCAGTTGTTTAAATGAACTATAGACCTGAATAACTTGTTTTAGTTGATACCAAAAATGAACAGACTAACCAGGCTCTTTCATCTAAGGGAAGAAATTCTGATATGATATGGTGATGAGAATAGAAAATTTTAAGATCTGATGAGATCCTAAGTGAGAAGAGTGACTGCTTATTGAGTCTTATTTTCTATTCCAGCATCAAAATACAAATTAACCGAAAAATGGATTATTTTGCTCTGTTTCAAAAGGTCAACTATGATAGTACAGCCAGCTAAGGGGGAAAATATGGTTAAAGACAGTAGGCAAATAACCTAGAAGTAGTAAAAATATTCCTTAAATAAGCAGTTGGGTGTCCTTGTTAATTATTGGTGAAAGCATAAAGTTGTGATTGTAGCAAGTCTTCAAACGTGAACATTCTAGGTATGAATGGCAATTAAACAGCAACAATTTAGAAAAATAATCCAATCTTTATAAACCTTCAAGAAAAGTTGAAAATAAAAATTTATTGTTTATATGTTGTGCATATACTTTATTTATGTAAAAAGACCAAGTGTAAATATATAAAAGGATGAAGGAGATACCAGATGTTTTACTGATTGAGGCATGAGTGATATTAAAAAAGCCGATATGATATTGATGAGTAATTAAAAGTTGTTAGGACCAAAGAGGAAGAGTTACAAATTCAGTAATATAAGGGTACTTCAAAAAATTCATGGAAAAATAGAATTGAAAGATAATGTGAATCTTTCCATGAACTTTTTGAAGTTCCCTCATACTTACCCAGTTTTTTTGGAGCATGTATCAGTCATACCTTTAAGCACTAGTATTCTTTTTTATTATCCAACTTTGGATTAAACAATTACTTGTCTTCAGACAGACTATATAGCATTTTGAGCTTTAGCTATTGTTCTGTACTGTAATACAGAGATCTTTTTATATGGAAGTCTACAGAAAATTGTACTATTAGAATGCTTAGTTCTGCTTCTTATAGTGCTCTTTCCCCTCAACTAATTGTCATTTATAGCTACAAGTAGGAGTTATCCAGTCTTCTTACTCTCCTAAAAATAAAAATAAAAACAAAACAAAACAAGACTGATGAAGTTTGTTTCATCAGTAACTTTATTTTACAAGTGGATACTAAGCAAATATGTTTGAGAGTAGCTTTTACCCTTTAGTGCTTTATTTCCTGGCTCAAAGGTCTTATTTATGTTTTTTGATTGAAGTCAGACATTGGATTGCTGTATAATTGATATTTTTACTAAATTTCAGATAAATAGGATGAAGAGGGCTTGCTACTTTCTTTGGGCTTTCTGCTCCGTCTGCCTTTGCTTTAATAGAAAGAGGTGGGAGATACAATAGTTAAAAGTGTGGAATTCTGACTCAGACACTTAGTAACTTTTGGGAAGGCTATTTAATTTCTCTGTGCCTCAGGCTTCTCATCTCAACTAAAATGGGATAATATTATTTCCTACTTTATAGAGTAGGTACTCATTTTTGAGAATTAAATGAGTTAATGCATCTGAAAAACTTAGAACAGTGCCTGGAACATAATAAGCACTCAAGAAATATTATGCACTTATTGTTATTATTATTGCTATGTTATTATTGATCAGTTTTCAGTTTTCTCTTTCTTGACATCCTTCCTAATTTCTACCCCAAAATAGTAAACTCTGGGGTTGTACCTCACTCTTAACATTGCCTCTCTCGTCATAGTAAAGTTCCTTTCAGATAGTCAGTGGATTAACTACTGGTTAATTGCTAATACAAAGTAATATTTGGTTTCTCAGCAGTTTTTATGAAATCAAAAATCAGAGTGGTCAGTATCCTGTTTACCTTTTGTATCAATCTGGACTCTGGCTTTGTGAAACAGACTCTTGAATGAAGAATAGATGAATGAATTTTTTGTAAGGAGATAGATGTGTCTTACTTAGAAGATGGAGAATGGAGCCAGGCCTCGTAAATAGCACCGAACAAGGAAGCAGAAGAGTGCTAGGAACCTAGGGAAGACTCTTCTCTCTCAGTTCATCTCTGTACCTGCTTCACCCTTCATCCACAGAAGGGCTGTGTGTGCTGGTGAGTGCATATTGGGAGAGGGGCTGCTGCACAGTGCCTGAACACTTCCACTTGCCCATGGAGGCTAGATAGACTACAGTTTTAGTCAGTTCTGAATTCCCAAGCAGGAGAGCATCTAGTTGGCTAATTAATTAGGCTCAAGTGTCCTCTTCTGTGACTTGAGAGCAGGGACAAAATAGCAGAAGAGCCAATAGTCCTCCTTTCTGGGCAGGCAGAGCAGATAGCCTGACAGGGGTCTGTTGTATCCAGATAGGGGCAAGTCTGAGCTCAATTCAGTCTCTTCCAAAATCCCCTCAGAGAAGTTGTTATGTTGGAGTTTACACATCAGAGAGACTTGCTCTGTGTTGCCGGTTCCTGGAACTCTCAGTCCTTCACACTACTGTCGGTTCTTGTGATTTATACAAACTCCAGTTGCAGATGTAAGGGCCACATTACAAATTTCAGTCCTGCCACAGACATCTTGCTCAGACAAAAATAAGCAGAAAATGTGCTACTTATTAGCTAATAAGAAAGCTGGTCCTTCTCCCAGGAGTAAAATAATTTGATGTTTAATGTATTATGTTATGGAGTCTACTTGGATCCTGGTTATTGGGTGATGTTATGGGTGTTGTGTTTTGTAAAAGAGAGAAGAACCAAGAGGAGTTACAGCTACAGGTTTGTACCTAGTAGCATGGAAAGTTGAGAATACAGAAGGTTGTGAACAGATGTTCTTTTTCTTTTTTTTCTAAATTGAGATGTTACTTTTGGAAGCATAGCCAGTAGATGAGCAGTGTCTCTACTCTTTATAGTCTGGGTGGGATTTTAGTAAACCTATTTAAGGGAAATTACTTGTTTCATAGTTGAACAGCCATTTGCATATAGTTAATGCCTGATTGGATTAAACATATAAATAAGTTCACAGAATTTATTGCACTGCTGTGGGTAATATTCAGGCAGAGGGCCCCTTATTTTAGAAAACTTTGGTCTGTGGCTATTGGTTGTTTTCCTAGAGAGAAATCTTATAACTTTTCACAGTTGGTCTAAAGAGTAGTATAATAGCATAATAGACTGCAGATGAATCAGTGCATGAAAAAAGTGTTTTGATAACAATAGAATAATCATTCTAAAATATTTTCAGGTTGGTCAGTAGTATGTCATGTATAAGGGACACTTTTGTAGTCTGTGTGCTGGAAGAGTCAAGAGAGAGATGTTAGTTTGCATTCAATAAACTATATTTCTCAACAAGAAGTTCTGTCGAGTCTAATAGAAACTTTGAAGGAAGGAAAAGGTGTGTATTTAGTTGGTGGATAAATTGATGGTATTGATGATAACATTTATTTTGAAGTTTTTAGTATGTTAAGGGTTAGGCATTAATTAATTAATTATTGCTTTTACTGTCAGGATTGAATACGCATTATATACAAACCAAGAACGTGAGTTTTTAAACTAATAAATATAAGGTCTTTGAACCAAGTTGAAGAGTCATTCAACTTCTGTTAATGTGTTGGTTTATGAGGCTCTTGTCTATATCTGATTGTTTACAAAGTCCAGTTTTATTCTTTTCTGGAAGATTAATTCAGAAGTTAGAAAATGCACACCTCTGATAACCATTTTGACCTTAAAAAAGGTAACACTGAAATGAAGGGAACTCTGCTTTTTAAAGAAAAAAAATTATATCACCAAAATGTATTTCTCTTAGAAACTATCAAATATTGTTGACTGATATCAACTTATAAGTGATCAGAAATCAGAATATTCCCAGAGCACTTGAGCTTAGGGTTGAGGTGTTCAGACACCATTCTGATGGGACAGGAGTGAAACAACCTCATCTGTTCTTAGTGTTCTGCATTTCGTGGTGAAGATTGTATTTTATTAAAAATGAACATGTTCTGTCCACAACCAGTCATATTTTACTGGCTGTTCCATCGAAACACACCCTAATGGCCCTTCTGGAATCTGTCCTCTGTCACTCCGTGATGCCTTTGAGCAGCACTTCTTGAAATGTGGTCTGTGTACCATTGGCAACAGAATTATCTGGGGGTGCCCCTTAAAGATGGACATTACTTAGTCCCATCACAGACCTGTGGGAGGGGCCCAGGAACATGCAATTTATGAAAGTTTCCAAGGTAGACATTGTGTACATTAAACTCACTGCACTAGAGCACAGAGGTCAGATGGAGGCTTTGGAGTCAAATGACCTGGCCACTGGGTAGCTTTTTGTGGCCTGGGGAAATTAACCTACAGTACCATCTCTCATCCATAATATGGGACGAGGAATATCTACCTCAGTGTTGATGCAAGGATCAAATGAGGTTAGGATGGAAAGCTTTACATACTGCCCAGCTCATGTTCAGGGCTAGTCTTTCTCTGAGTATCTGCCAGTCTCTACATGTTAAATGTTGTGCTAGGCATCAGGGAGTCAAAGGTGAATAAGGCATAGTCCTCACTTACAGTCTCATAGGGAGCCAGAGTTATATGTGTGTGTTTTTTGTTGAGCTTCATTTGCCCCTCCCCCCATTCTAAAAGTTTCAAACTTTCAGAAAAG